TGGCAGCTAAATTATAGAGGGGACGAGATGACATGTCAATAATGTTTTGAAAGGGAAAACATGACTAGCATGCATCCCTGTGTAACTTGGCACAGACAAAATGACAACTGAAAATTCGAGATCCCTTCTCTATCCCGCCAGTAGTTACACAAATGGGAATGGAGATCTCCCTCTCATATCAGAGTCACAGTGAGATTGACCCGACCATATACAAACCAAACTGAACATTAAAAGCACAAGTCGGACAGAGTTACTTAGATATCACTGTGCATGACGCAGGTTCAATCATCTTCTGAGAGCACAAATAGTTTGCCGTTACAATTGAGGAATAGTTCAAGCCAACCTGACTACTCGTTAGTCGTTATTTGCGTGCTCTTCAGCGGCCTGGCTATGACAAAAATGCGAAGGCCCCTATACACATTCAACGCGAGCACGCTAATCCACTATTTACGCCGGAAATGCGTCAATAGTGCGCCAGATTTGAGCCATTGTCAAATCTTCTCATTGATATCAGCTGGTTTGATATGTTCACAAACGTATCAAAATGCTCTTGAGGCCCGAGGAAATTGAAAGACTCTAGCCGCACCCGAATCGTGGCCGACCCAAGGCGGCTGGCAGCGGCATCTTGCGACGAACGTGATCAGTTTGCAACGTGGCGTTTTAAAGCGTCGCGCCATTTGAGACAGGTGGGCTTGATTGCTCGCCACACGGTGATGCGTTGGGTTCAGCGCAAGGCTGTGGGCTGCTGTTGGTTGCGTTCCTGTCGTGAGAAGCTAAATGGCAAGGAGAAAGTAGCTAATCGTCAGCTTTTAAGGTAATGGCGTTAAAATGCCCTGCCGATCTAGGATTGTTGTTTGTGGATGCCTGAGCTGTGGCTTCAGAAGCAAACGGAGGTCGTTGGAGCGACGCATGTCACGGATTCATCCGGGGCTTCCTGCTGATGAGAGGAGCAACGGCTGTGAGGTAGGAGACTGAACATCGCTGTTGTAGGCCTCACATTCCCCGTTGCGCCTCAGACTTCGTGCACTGATCGGTGGATAGGGCTTAGATAAAACATTTTGAGTTGTCATATCGCATATAAAGCCAGATGAAGATGCTAGAGGTGTTCAAAAAATGTCGTTTGCATCTGTTGATACCAATGTTATGTGGGTTTTGCTCTTAATAATTGGGATGATATTAGAAAGTGCGACTTCTGCACAGGCCATCATGCCAAGATAATGGAGGTCGCCAACGCTTTCAGCTGATTATAAGATGACCTCGCGAAATCGATATTATACAATAATGACCTGATATTGTTTCAGGTGCTTGTAGAACCATGTCATCGGTAAATGTAGGGCCAAAGGGTTGCAGTTTCGTAAAATGCGTAGGGGTTAGGGATGGAAGGGGAAGGGAGAGGGTGCCAGAAGAAAAATTGCTGAGCCTTCCTCCGGAATTCACTTCAAACAGTTTTCTCCTCAGATTTGGCGCAATTTTATGCAACTGGCAGCAGGGGCTTAGTTCCTCAAGAACAGGTTTTTGGGTTGAACCCCGAAATTATAATAAGGAAAAAATAACGGACACAGATGATGGTTAAAATAGGAAACTGCATCTCTGGTTAGGAGGTGCAATACCACCTCCCCTCTCGCCCCCCCCCCCCCCCCCCAATTGAATAAGAAACTACACGCATTTAGGCTGGTTATGTTAAGTATGCTTTTATCTGATGGCTATGTTAGGGTAGTCTGATCCTTCATCCAGTGTTTGATGGCCAGCATATAAAACTTAAGTGCAAATTAACTCCCGAAACAACAATGCTCATGGTTATGCCGCATTGTATTTAACCCGCCTTTGCTTTTTGTGGTTTGTTGCATTTCGGAATATATTGCAACGGTTTCTGAAAGATTAGACCCCAGGTGACATTTCAAAAGGTTCTTAATTTTTTCGGTGACAGAAAAGGCACTTTGCGCTCAGAATGAATCCAGGAGTGAACCCTGGATTAATTCTGAGCACAACTGTGTGCAAGTTCATGTGTTTTGAGCATATATTTATGATGGATGGCTCCGTCGATGGAACAGTATCGGCCCGCCGCGCGGGCCCCAGAATTGTCGGTTGCTGCCCGCCGCCCTCGCCGGCCGGGGATCGCCATGCGGTGTCCCTAAAAAACGTCTTTTCTTAAAAACCACAATTGCCGAAACCACGGCGGTCAACCTCAAAAACTGCCTCCCTCAGATCTTTCATAAACCGAAGTGCAATGAGTTTGCATGCACGTTGCTAAATTGCAGAAGGCCGTCACTGTTCACACAGCGCGGCATTTACGCCCAAATACGATACCCACACATGATGCCCAGGCACCATGTTACGCATGCATGCATGCATGCATGCCACGCTACCGCGCCCATTCGGAGTGGCCGCCGCCGCTGCCTTCTTCCGTCTCTATATAGCACCCGGCTGCAGAGATAAGCGCGGTCGCGTGGCTTCCTGATATCGCATTTGCATGAATAATCGCTATCATGATCGATGTCCGCAGCTTAAGCTGCCAATAACCATGGTGACTGCATGTGTAATTGCCGATGGATGGGCCGCCGGGATGAGATGTCACTCGGCACTACGGTAGGGCTTATGTAGCAGTCCCTGTGTTGTAGATACGTCCAGCATTCTGCGTGTCAGGGTTGTGCGGTATCCCACTCAAGGATTATATATACTTCCGCGGACTGTGTGTTTATCCACAAATGGAATGAGCCTTGTTGAAGATTTCCACAAAACGCGTAATGCGAGGGACTAAAATCGATTGCCTAAATTGCAAAGAGGCAGAGGCAATTGCAGAGGATTTACCCGAAAACTTTTCCCCAAAATATGTAATTCATTGTCCTGACATAATAACCTCGATCTGACTCGCGGCTTGAGAGCTTGAGAATTTACATGTGCGCGTGTGTGTATGTATGTGTGTATGTACGTATGTATGTTTGTATGTATGCATGTATGTTCGTGGGTGTGTTCGTAAGTATGTATGCAGGTATTCATGCATTCATGTAGATATATGTGCGTGCGTATGCATGTGTGAATACTATGTCGTACACATGTAAACATAATGTATGCATGCATATCGCGTACTGTTTGTATGCATGCATGCATGCGTTTATCACAGCCCACCACGCCAATGCGATTATCAGGTTACTTCGTCCCACGCTAAAAGACATGTGAATGTGAAAGACAGTACGCGCACATCAGTGGCAGTGGGAAAATCAAATACGAGACTATAACTGATGACGGCCTTCGCCTACACCACGGCCATGCGGTCAAAGAGTATGTAAACGGTATGATAAACATGCGCATGATTTGTACATCAGTTAATTGTTATGAACTCCCGAGATCAATGTCAGGCTTCAACCTGTCCGATCTCGTAACAAACTTCGCGGCTTCCACCGAATTACATTCAGCCGGGGCGCTTTGGAGCTGACCGCGGCTCTCAGCGGGTGTGCTCCAACCAGGGCCCTCCAGGGCTGACCTGGAGCATCTCAGCCGGTGTGCTCCAGCCAGGGCGCTCCGGGGCTGACCGCGACTCTCTCAGCCGGTGTGCTCCAGCCGGGGCGCTCCGGGGCTGACCTGGACCATCTCGGCTGGGGCACGTGGCTGGCCAATCAGCGCCGCCATGTGAATGCAGGCAGGGGTCAAATTTGATCTTAAGCAAGTCCAATGGACGCTTGAAGCTGCTAACTCGTGCATCATAGCCGAGCTTATGCTCAAGGAAGAAGAAGAGAGTAAAACTACAGTTCACAAGTCAGAGCAAAACCTGCATAGACAGCAACAGATCAGAGCAAGACCTGCAGAGACAGCAACAGATCAGAGCAGGACCTGCAGAGACAGCAAAAGATCAGAGCAAGACCTCCGGAGACCTTAACAGGCCGGAGTAAGACCTCCGGAGACCGCAACAGGCCGGAACAAGACCTCCGGAGACTGCAGCATATTGGAGAAAGGCCTGAGACTGCAGCAGATCAGAACACGACCTTCTGTGGGGCTTTCGGCGGAACGTCCGCGATGGCTGCCGCACATGGCATGGAAACATAATCCGGCGATATTGTGAAGAAAAATTGCATTGGAGAGCCGTTATGCAGAGGCTGATGAGATTTTATCAGGTATACTCTTCAGATCGGGCCGCTTTGCGTCAACTCCATTCCAGACGTAAGCTGACAATTGCATCCAGTCACCCTCAGCCAGTCGGGCAGCATTGGGCAGGACATCATGTATCCAGTCACCCTCAGCCAGTCGGGTAGCATTGGGCAGGACATCATGTATTCAGTCACCCTCGGCCAGTCGGGCAGCATTGGACAGAACATTATGTATTCAGTCATCCTCGGCCAGTCGGGCAGCATTGGACAGAACATCATGCATTCAGCCACCCTCGGCCAGTCGGGCAGCATTGGGCAGGGCATCAGTGACGTTATACAGAACATCACTGCACCGTTATCCCCATCTGTAGTCCTTTGTCCGTGCGGCACTTGCCGCGTGCCGCTCAAAGTCCTGTTTGTTAGTACAGCTCGAGGCCGTGGCTGCCCCTCCCCCGCCCCCCCCCCCCAAGTTATTCATAGTGCAGCGTATAGTGAACGGCTGCATCGTTCGATTCGGCTCATCGCCAGGTCTTCAGCTGGGTCGTTCGGTGTCATTCGATGCCATTGGTCTGTTCTGATGCGTTGCAGTCCACTGCGGATTTTTTCAAGTGACAGCTTGTTTTTATTTACGTAACCCGAACTGTCCTACAAGCGTGCATGATGTCAAAGCCGGAAGTACCCGCGGTACCGTGAACACCTCATGGCTGTAGCCACCGAGCCTGGCAGACAAGCTATGTGTGCCGCAGTACGCGCTGTCCTGGCGGTGGTCGGCTGGCGGGCGCGGCGATGGCCACGGCAGGCGCCGCTCGTGATCGGATGATCGGCGGCCCGGACGGACCCGGCGTCGGCCCCGAAGCTGGCCTTGGTGCCCCGCTGGACAGGAGCCAGCGCCGCTGCCCGCAGCCCGCCGCCCCCGGACGGCTCGTGCGCCACCGCAGCGTGCGCCGGTGGCTGGTATCGAACGGACGCCGGTGGAACGGTCTTCTGCTCAGCAAACCAGGTCCTTTTTATTGGTTGCCGATTTCCAGTGAAACCACGTCATCCCATCATTGTCAGAAAGACATTTAAGCAGACTGGTACCTCATTTGGCACAAATAAACATGTAGAAAGTATTTTAAGTTGTCATACATCTTTGGAAATGTCGCAACATGTCCTGTTGCACGGCATACAGGCATCTGAATCACTGTATTAAAGTGCTCTGTCTTAGAAGTTACGTCCAATGTTATGGAAGTTTTGGTCGCTGATGATTCTAGTCAACAGCTCTTCATCTGAGGCGCGCTGGTAAAGCAATGATCTCTTTCCCCCTTTTCCGGGACTAGTCTGGGATGAAATGAAGGAAGTATTTTAATTTTAGGACCAATAGAGAGGCCAGCTGAGCAGATGACAAACATGATTAATGCACATCTTAACATTTGATATGTACAGGAAACACTAGTAATACTATATTGCGTTGTTGATGACAATAGGGCTTTACTGACGAACACAAGAATGCAATATCTTGATGCTGTTATTCGCGATAAACTGATATCCGTTGGAAAGCACGAAACTGTTACTGCATATCTGCTTTGTTTTGGCAGTATTTAAGCATCCACCACTCAAGTTGAAATAAAGGCGTGGTCGTGACGAGGCTGTACCAATATCGCACCGAACCTTTCTCTTCCCTCCAGTGGGCTGAACAAGCGTGCACATAGCCATGACATTTGGACTTTCAGCTATGAACGATATCCGGGTGTCGTTGTGTACAAGCATGACACCCTGACTAAATAACTTTTGCTATCCGTCCGATATAGACATGTCGCCGAAATGTCAACGCATCTATGCCTCCATTCTCCTGCTTTTTCTCCGAAGAATAAGGCTATTACTATTGTGCTGTCTATTCAGTTACTTGTTATCATCGACAACACCGGCATATGCATTTCCTTTCTGATTCTGTTGCTACGACAGACGCATTACCATACATGTGTAGTAATCGATAGAGAACAACAAGGGAATCTTTGTTGTCTGCGCACGTTGCCACTCAGTCATTCCCTAGTTCGAGGGAAAACTGTTTTAGAAGTCTGCAGGAGTTCCATGCGTTGCAGAAAGCTTCTTAAGGCATTAAGCAGATCCGTTGGGAGGACTTTGACCGCCTTGGCGACTTGCTTCGTCTTTCGACGACGATGTGATGTAGTAGGTTTTAACTTCGGTTCCAGGGTTATGCTCTAGTAGGCTTCCATAGCGGTTCCAGCGATTTAGTAGGTTTCAGTGGCAGTTCCGGAAAGGACGCGGAGGTATAGTCGACTGCACATTTTTGTAATCCGATAATCGATTGGGAACGGATCGACTGTTAACGAGGGGAGGCCAGATGTGTCCAGGTGATGATCGGTATTCCATTGAATGCTACAAGAATGACGGGATGACAGGGCGTGCGTCACAGCTGCAGCTGCGGCAGCTGAACCCTGGGCATGAGGTGGATATTAGAGCTGAGCATTCGAGCGTCACGCCAGTATACATTGGCATATGAATGTCGTTCATGGCTACAAATTTAAAGTAGGTTATCGCAACTGGTTTGCTAAAGGTAGTACTGCACATTTATATGGGATTTGAACTGAAATAGCCATCTTCAGGACCTTTCAGTGTTGTTCACAATCCCGCCCTTCTGAAGACTTCAGCCAATCTAGTTTTTGACCTACATGCACGCAAAAATGGTGAAAGGCATAACGGAGAGTATTTCAAACTCACCTTGGCATTCATGACGTCAAAATAACGTCATTCAAATCCTGCCACTCCTTAACCCATGCGGCGATCAAGGCCATAACAAATATAACTGTCGAGGCACTCATAAAGGGCGTTGGTGGACGCAATTCCCAGACGTAACGGCCGTCACTTCACTCTCAACCAATGTTGTGCAAAGTACAATGACGTAACCAAGCCATGGCGCATTGAGCGTAGCTACTGAACATTAAATTGAGATGTCTAGAGCGGTCTTTTCCACTTCACTAGTATACCGATAATTATAAGCGAACTTGTCTCATCATATCTGATGCTTGCTTCAGTATCTTCGAGCGTAAAACATTCGTTTGAGACCTGAGTGGAATGCGACCTTCCCCGCAAGGTTAATGCTCCATTAGGAAGTACAAAGCTTTTCACTTGCACAACCGACACACTAGTTTCCCTTTTTGTGGGGCAAGTGGATGTGACTCAAGGTGTCTGGTACATTATTTGTGATAATGACGAAGGCTCGGTGTCCGATGCGTGGATTTGTGATGCTGGCTGAACGAGGCTTTATTCTCGGCTATCAAGCCAATCCAAAATTTAAGTCAGACATGATCAAAATGACCCCGGCTCTATCTAGGAAATTGTATTTACATCATGATGGGTGTGCACACGCCCCAATGGTTGGTCACCACGGGCAGCGCAAACCAGAAACGACTTTAGGTAAAACTCGGCCTTACAGACAATCCACAGTTTCTGCGCACGGCAAAGAAAGGGCTTCGTCACAATAACTAGTGGACGACCTGTTCTGTTGCAGGTCTCGGCGGATGTGACCACGCTGCAAGTCATCAGTTAGACCAGCCGCGGCCGCTGCTCTGCCCTGGCAAGGTGGTCCACGTTAGTGTGCGGGGCGTCACGTGGCCCGGTGTCCAGGGAATTCGGGATGTCCAAGAACGGCGTGCTGGCAAAGGAGCCTGTCTCGGACGGAGCGGTGGACTACCAGAGACTCATCCAGCTGTTCGAATGTCCTGTGTGCCACGAGTACATGAGGCCACCCATACACCAGTGCAAGAAAGGACACGTTATCTGCCAGAAATGCCGACCCAAGGTTAAGGGCATTTGTCCGTTGTGTAAGCAGCTGGTCGCCAATCAGACCAATCTTATGATGGAGAAGATCAGCACTCTCATCAAGTTTCCATGCGTCTACGCGCCGAAGGTAAGCATAGCATGGGTTTATGGACATGGTCGTCGCGTTGACGTCGTTACCAAGCAATCTTGGCAGCGTCTTCTCTGGGAAAACCTGTCGCCATCTGTTAGTCCGTGAGCTTCGTCCCGAGCGATCGTCCGCTTCATGCCAACTTTTTGTTATGACCTTTCGGAAAGGTCATGCTAAACTCAGCCAACTACATTGGCTGCTAAGTGTCACCGGCCTAATTCCCTGCAGGGCAGCGCGGGGAGTTTGAGAAATTACTTTGAATCAGACGAAATGCCGTGGCTGGAGAAATTACATAGAATCAGACGAAATGTCACGGCCCAGTGTGACCTATTGCATGATTAAACCAGAACGCCACGGACTTGGATGAAGTGGTCATTCACCTTGAGGACTAACCACCACGCCATGGCTGCCTGGTAGCACAGTTTTTGCTCTTGGAACGGGATCCCTGACTACGTCTACGAAGCAGCAACGTGCGAGTGAGGAGACACGTATATGAGCGCATACTTGTCGCCGGCTCAGACGAACGGCTCTCTTTACCACTTTACAGCCGTTTCCAGTGGGCTTTAACGCTGAGTCACGACTCGACAGCTCCGCGGTGCTGGTGCGGCTGTGGTCTGTGCTCCCCACGCGCCCGCCAGGTCCCTTCCGCGGCACGGCCAGCGGCCAGCGCTGCGTCATGTGCCAGTCCCAGGGCTACCGTGCTGTACTCCCATGGCGCCAGTTTGTTTTCAGAAGCGCCAGCAGCGGCGATACGACCGAGAATTGGCAAGCAGCTCCGATATAACCCTCGGATGTTGCCGGCTCTAAGGGGAGCGACGCCGCCTGTCTGCGAGTCCGGTCTAGACACACACTCCGTCTCGTCTGAGGAGATGAGCCTCGTGCCCCCCCTCCCCCCTCCCCCCTCCCGAGCCTTCTCACGGGGGTCGTCCCGTCAGCATTGGCCAGGCGGCGCACGTGTGGGCACGCTCTTGGGGCAGCGTGGAGCGGACGTTCATGGCGCCAAATGTGTGACCCGCATTCGCCGGGTCCTTGGAGCACCGGCGTTTTGTTTGTCACGCCATTTGTCATCGCTGACGGACCGTGCACGTGATAGGTCGGTGTTTTCAAATGGCGTGTGTGGCCCGACAGCTGGTGCATTGCCGGCATTCTGGTCTAAAACAGGCTCACTGGGACAAACGACGCTGGCCGCCAGCGTGCCCGCCGGGCCACCACCGCAAGCTGAGCACGAATCACTCTCACCATGTCTTGCTGCATACGTGTAGCTTGCAGCGCTTCTTTTATTGATAACAAGATACGCAGTAACGTCAGTGTAATCCACTTCATTTAAGCATGGAAAACAACGTTTTGGTTCTGTTGGCAGAATGTTAGATGCCTCATCGTGCTCAATAGGGCGACTGAGCGCACGTGTCACGCTTGCTCTGCCTGATCCCAAGACCTTCAGACTATAGATGAGGGAGAGTAGCGGGCTTAAAAGTGAAGCGAGTCGTGCGGACGGTTGGCGGTCTTGGTGACCTCCCTCTAAGTGCGGTGGCGACCCGAGGCCCAACCATCGCGAAATAGCGATCGACTGAAGGTCCTATTTCCGTGATATCAAGGGAGAATATCTGCCCTCTTGCGTTATGAAGAACAAACAAGTGTTATTCGGAAGGAACTGAACGGCGACCAAGCCTGTTGACAACCTCGTGCTCCGAGTCCATGGCACCGATCAACATCAAATCTTACCGTTTTATGCCCCTAAGTCGATAACCTTTTCCTTTCCGAACATAGTGACTTTGGGTCGGGTCAAAGGTTACCAAACCCGATCAAAGCCACCAAAATTAGCTCCAGACAACCCCATGCTCCGAGCTTATGGGACCGACCAGTATGAAACCTTCGCCAATCGATGCGCCGTAGTCGATACCTCATCGCGCCCCAGGTGAAGATTTCATGCTGATCGGTGCGTGGGGTTGCCTTCAGCCAGATTTTGTGGTTTGGACGTTTTCGGAAACCTTTGATCGGACTGAAGATCACCATTTTCAGGAAAGAATGGGGTTTCGACCATAGCGCATCGTTCGGTGAAGGTTCCATGTTAATCGGTCCCATATGCTCGGAGCATGGGGTTGTCTGCAACCTATTTTCCTTTTTTGGTGAACTTTGGCCTGAACCAGGGTCACCATGCTTTGTAACCATCTGGGTAGGTTATCAACCAAGCGGCATCAATTGGTGGAGTTTTTATGTCGGTTGGCGTTATGGGCTCGGCGAATGGGGCTGTCAACAGGTTTGGTTGTCCGCTTAGTCTCTCCCGCGCAATTCGTGGTGGAATTTTGCATACCTTGCACAACGTTGGTTGATAGCCAACTGACGGCCGTTATATCTTGGAGTCGTGTTCACGAACGCAATATACGAAAGAATCGACAATTACTTTTTTACCTTGAACGCGTGGATCGTGAAATGATAGAATTTCACTGGCATTATTATGGCGTCGTTGACACCCGGGTAACCTTGAAATAGTCGGCACGAAATAGTCTGCTAATCTTTGGGGGCATGTAGTTCAGAAATCAAAGGATTTTGCGTGTTAACAAGGGTAGGGCTGTGCACTGCAGCCAATGATCTTTAAGATGGCTATTACAGTGCAAAACCCCATGCAAATGCGGAACAATCACTGTAAAGAGCACATCATGGAAAAGCGTGCCTTGACTGGCAATAAAGACCAAAGTATCAAACGTGCTCGGATTGAATATAATGATGTAAAGACCAAGGCTCAAATGCAGACGCATGGGTACCAAACTGAGTATGAAACAGAGACCGATGTCTCGCAATATTGGCTCATTTGCTATGTTTGGTGTAGGTTATTCAGCTGCATTAGCGAGGAACATTAGTCACATAGATAAGACAGTAGTATTAGCCTTATCCCTCGGAAAAACCAGGAGAATAGAGGTGTAATTAGATTTAACCTAACTTAAATATATGACATAATTAATATGTAATATGTATATATATATATATATATATATATATATGTATATATATATATATATATATATATATATATATATATATATATATATATATATATATATATGTACTAAAATAATCTATTTCTACATTCTCCTAGTTTTTCGAGGCATGAGGCTAAAACTACTGTCTTCGCTATGTTTGGTGCCTTAGTAATGCATATCTGGATTCCAAGCGGTTTTTCAAGCTAACCTCATTCTTTGACTCGATTCCTTCCCAACCACCGGTTCCTGCACACTTTTTTCTACTCACTTGTGATCGATTTTCACACGTTGTTTTCTTGTGTACTTCTTCGTTGCCATATTGGAATCACTTCTCCCCGCACCTTTCTGAAACAATACCAATTAGTTCATGGCCGTTTATTGACGACGCGACCATAGATAAGACAGGAGTAATAGCCTAAATCCTCGCAGAGAAAACAGGAAAATGGAGATAAAGGTTTTTCCTGGTTTTCCTCCCAGGAATAAGGTTAATACCACTGTCTTAGTATGCATAGTGTGCATAATGTTTCTCACAGGTTCACTTAACAAATTAGACTTAATCACCTTTTTGGGGGCATCGGGTTCGCAAGTCTTATGAACACGCCAGAGCACCAAATAAACCTTTGCGACGTGACTGTCTTTGCAGTGAGTACGCATTTCAGCAAATGGGATGCATGTAAGTCATAAAAGTGAACGCCAATGGCAATAACAGACTGCAGCTCCATGCTGATGCAGGCTGATATTAGTTCCTAGAATGAAGCCGTTTTTCGCAAGGACTGATTGATCAGTTGTTACGAGGTACGAGACCCATGTTCCAGGAGGCAATCGGAACATTACAAACGTAAAGAAATTCTACACTCCATCTTGCGGCATGTCATTGCTTCCAACCAGTAATTTTCCCCGGCTATATGCTGATGGGCTGCGTGGACACCCGGAAGGGCGCTCGCTTGCTTATCGTTCCTTCCGCACAGCTACATGTAGTTATCGAGGACCACAGTCCAGCGCTGTTTCTTGTATAGAAGTATGCCACGGGCGCAGCGTTGAGTGGCAGATGATACAAATTTACCAACGTAGCATGACTACCAAACGTCCATTGAAATTATTTGAATAGAAACTTATTTGTTCACCAGGACTTGGTGGTATAAGCGCTGCTTCACCACGCGTTCGAGGCTCCTGAAGGACACAATGACCGATCAGGGTCTCCGATCAAACGATGTCCTTTATGACCACTCGGCTGTGTCTGTCATATGTGCTGTCGCTCTGTATGTGAGGTCTGCGTCTGCTGTCGTCTCTCCACGCCGCAAATCTCTAGTGTGAGGTGTCGGCGTGAGAGCGCTCGGGGCTGCACTGACGGTGTCGTGGTGTCGGCGTGAGAGCGCTCGGGGCTGCACTGACGGTGTCATGGTGTCGGCGTGAGAGCGCTCGGGGCTACACTGACAGTGTCATGGTGTCGGCGTGAGAGCGCTCGGGGCTGCACTGACGGTGTCGTGGTGTCGGCGTGAGAGCGCTCGGGGCTGCACTGACGGTGTCATGGTGTCGGCGTGAGAGCGCTCGGGGCTACACTGACGGTGTCGTGGTGTCGGCGTGAGAGCGCTCGGGGCTGCACTGACGGTGTCATGGTGTCGGCGTGAGAGCGCTCGGGGCCACACTGACGGTGTCGTGGCGTCGGCGTGAACGCGCCCGGGGCCTCACTGACGGGACGTCACGTCCTGCTCTGCAGGGCTGCGACGAGCTGGTGCCGCTGCGCGAGAAGAGCCACCACGAGACCACGTGCGCCCGCCGACCGGTGCACTGCGAGTACGCGCGCCGCGGCTGCGGCGCCCTGCTTCCGCTGCGGGATATGACCGGACACGTGCGGCAGTGTCACTTCCGGCCGGCCTGAGCACGCCGCGCGCCACACTCGAAGTCACGCCCGTTCCTGTGTGTCGCTACGAACAGTCGAAAGCCTGGGTATGGCAGACATCTGTCCGGCCCGAAGCCCGGTTGCTATGTACGTCCAAGGTCAGAATCGTGCTGAAGATCGTGAGACTCGTCCAAAGTCTCGAGGCGCATCCAGGCTTGTGAGACTCGTCTAGTGCCACGAGACGTTCTGGTGTGTCAGGTTGTGAACTGAAGTGTAACAGAATGTCACCGACCGGCATGTCGAGGCTTCCGCCAGAGCCTGCTTCGAGAGCAAAACCGTACATCTGGGCGCATTTTAGTCTCGGCTGAACAAACCAGACACTTACGAATGCCAGTGTGTCTCCATGTTCCGGTGTCCTTCATGAGTGATGTTGCTGACCGGTTTGATAGATTTGTGCTTACCGGGACTTCAATATGTGCACACATTTTACGTCTCACCATGACACAAGACTCACTCACAGGAAAGTCGGAAGTGCCAAGTATGAGAACGAAAATTGATAGTCTCGATCGAGAAAATGTGGAGCTACCGTGCATGCATCATTGCACGCTCTTGTCCCCAACGACAGGTGAAAGTATGCTTTTGCGTTTTGAGCACGATTAAAAAGGCCTCTGTGCATCCACGTGTTTCGGGAGTCCATGCTCACGTCCGATGTCATCCCGTCATGTTCTACAGCGATATCGGACAGGATGCAGTGCGAACGCAATAAGCGATGACTATTCCGTGTCTCTGACGCAATATCGAGTTTCTTGTGATTTGAGACTCGTGACGGCTGCCATCATCAGCGTGGAAATAGTAAGAGCCGAGTGAAATTCATTCAAGCCAAAGTCCATAACCAGCCATTACACAATCGGCATATTCGCAGATATCATGCAGCGTAGATCTACAGGAACAACGTGCGGCAATGTTTTGCTGAAGACTGCATGGGAATAGCAAAGATGGAGCCCGAAATCCGCTTCGAAAACAGATTCTTTTGAAAAACGCGAAACACATCAACAGGCACGATACTCCTGAGGAATTTACAGGACCAGCCGGGCTGAAAAACGAAGTTGAAGAAATGCACGAAATGAGTCATTCATTCATCCAGTCATTGTCACTTTGCCATCTGAGGGCCACGGCTGAGCCTCCTTGTATCATGCGCCTCTTTCTTTCATACTTTTTTCCTGTCCCACCAGGAACATGTCGAGCTTGGTGGTGTCGCCACCGTGGGGTCGCCGTCCTGGATGAGCCCGGCCATACTCTGCCGCAACCCAACATAATTTTGCAAAAAAATCGAGCTTGACGTCGCCGCGTGCCCCTTTATGGATCGTCAGCGGTGCTCAGGGGCCATAACGCAGTCGAAATTAGAACCGGGTTTTTTGCTCGGGAACCGCAAATGCTTAAGCATGCCCGAGGTGGTGCGTATGGGATTTGAAGTTAGATCGCCGATGCGACCCCCACAGACCATCATGCGATTGCGTCCGCCACACACCCGCACTTATTAGATCCCTGATGCGACGCCCGCAGACCATCATGCGATTACGTCCGCCACACACCCGCACATATTGGATCCCTGATGCGACGCCCACAGACCATCATGCCATTACGTCCGCCACACACCCGCACTTATTAGATCCCTGATGCGACGCCCACAGACCATCATGCCATTACGTCCGCCACACACCCGCACTTATTAGATCCTTGATGTGACGCCCACAGACCATCATGCTATTACGTCCGCCTCACACCCGCACTTATTAGATCCCTGATGCGACGCCCCGCAGGCCATCATGCCATTACGTCCGCCACACACCCGCACTTATAAGATCCCTGATGTGGCGCCCGCAGACCATCATGCCATGACGTCCGCCACACACCCGCACTTATTAGATCCCTGATGCGACGCCCACAGACCATCATGCGATTACGTCCGCCACACACCCGCACTTATTAGATCCCTGATGCGACGCCCACAGACCATCATACGATTACGTCCGCCACACACCCGCACTTATTAGATCCCTGATGCGACGCCCGCAGACCATCATGCGATTACGTCCGTCACACACCCGTACTTATTCGATCCCTGATGCGACGCCCGAAGGCCATCATGCGATTACGTCCGCCACACACTTCTTATACCAAACCAAACCCGTTGTGCGCGGTTCCTAGGGCCTGACCTGTACCTCCCATCCACAGTACGCTGTGCTCGTAGGTCATAGCCGACGAGCTGGGATTCCTGGCACATCCTGTCTCGCTGAAAATCCCATATAAATGTGAAGCAATCCCTTTAGAGCAAGCAGAACACCATGTGTAAATAGGAGTTATGACCGACTCGAATGCCCTTTTGGTTCATTTCGTGGATCAAGATAGCAATAGATAGCAATAGCCTCGTCGATCAAGATAGCAAAAAAGATAGCAATTTTTCGAATGCCTTTCAGGTATACTTGAAACTGAAAACGATAGATGCGCTCCATTCGCCACCTCATGTGCGTCGTGGGCACAAGAGCCGCTGGCGAGATCGGAATAGAGCGAGAACCTCTAGTCGCGAGCTGCGGTCATTTAAATAATTTCACTGATCTTAGTGACAGTTTGGCTTACGGTTTATAGTTCTTCGTCCCAGGTTGGCAAGGGCGCTGCTACATTTGAACTGCACACTTTGGGTTGCCAGCTGGTTAGAAATCGTTGCTGGTAACATAAGTGAAATACGAGAGCAGTGTGCGAAACGTGGCAATTGTTTTTTTTTTCACGCAGGGTACGAAAACACTGCCATCGAATTAAGACAAGTCTTGTCTTCTGTGTCTCAAGTTCCTACTTTCCGATTTGTCATTGATACCGGCTGCAATTCACCCGTCTCGCATTGTTGATGGTTGCGACGAGAACTGACCAGGGCCAGCCGCTTTCATAAACGGTGTGGAGGATTAACGCACCGCACAGAGTATGCAGATACGCTCTGTGAGGAGGTGGCCTGGTTCTGTGAGGAAGTAGGCATCAGGGACGCGGCGGTGTGCTGCCAGCTGAAGTGCCGGACAAGCGGCGCAAAGCGTCCCAGGCGCCGTCCTCACTACCCCGGCAAGCTGGCCGTATTTTTCTCGGATGCGACCAATGGCTAGCCGGGATTTGCGCCGTCCTCACTACCCCGGCAAGCTGGCCGTATTTTTCTCGGATGCGACCGATGGCTAGCCGGGATTTGCGCCGTCCTCACTACCCCGGCAAGCTGGCCATATTTTTCTCGGATGCGACCAATGGCTAGCCGGGATTTCGTCCAGGCGGAGGAGGGAGTGGAATCGGGCGGTCTCGTAGCCAGTGGGGTGGGGAGGCCCTCTGGTTAGAATATGCGTCGCTTGACTTATAGAATGGCAGGATTTGAATGAAGCTGCTATGACGTCATGAGTGCCAAGTTGACTGAAGTACTTTCCTCCCCGATAAACCTTTCCCCCGTTTTCGCGGGCGTGTAGCTCAGAAAATAGAGGGGCTTAGGACTAAAGAAGCGCAGGATTGTGCACAGCACAGTAAGGCTTTAAAGATGGCTATTTCAATTCAAAACCCCATTTAAATGTGGAACACTTCATTTCGGTCTCCTTTGCGAAGAGAATTGGCTTCCTCATGTTTTTTTTTTCCGTTCCATAAGTCACCACGTACGTCTTATGAACAAACCTGGAGTGTGGTAACGATCAGCACAGTCTAGGTCAGCCTCACATGGGCTCAAAAGATCTGGGTTGAGTGGATAGGATGATGAACCCGTGGGAGACTCAAAGCCTCCCTGGAAGTGTATCTCTTCCATAGTCCAGACGTCGCACCGCTACCCCATCTGCGGAAACGCACGCTGGCAGTTATTGCCGCTCGTAGCTCTCGGAAGGGTTGAGATGAGATTTCAGTCGCTGGTGAAAGAATTGTTCGGACAATCGTTCTTGCATGGTACTATCTTGTGTACGCAACGTTCCGAACCGTTAACCCTCCGTCTGTAGTCAGGTGTTACCGAACCTTGGGAAGACTGGGCCATGACTGTCTTTCTGCCACGTACATGTCATATCCCGAATTATCACCTTGGCATTGTTCGAATTCGAACCATTTATTTATTTTACACCATTTATTCCCAGGTCATTTATTCCGAGTTCGGTGCTTTACCAACTGAGCCAGTTCTTCCCGGGTAGGTGCAAGGGCTGACATGTTAAAAAGATTTAGAGGGGGTGTTCCACATTTGTGTGGTGTTTTGAACTGAAATGGCCACCTTGAAGATCATTCAGAGCAGTTCACGGCCATGCCTTTCTTAAGACCTAAACTCCTCTTCTCTCTGAGCCACACGCCCGCGAAGATGTTCAGACAATTTCGGGGAGAATAATTCAAGGTCACCCAGGTACACGTGAGGCCAAACAGCGTCATGCAAATTCCTCTATTTCTTGGCCATGCGGCGATCGAGGCCAAACAAAATATATTTGTTGAGTCGTTCACATCTGGTGTTTGTGAGCACCATTTCCAGATATAACGGCCGTCAATTAGGTCTCAATCAATGTTGTGCACGGTACTGTGACGTAATTAAACAATGACGTATTGGTGAACATGTTGACTCAATGTAGACAAATTAGGTTTTTTATTGAAGCCTTTCACGCTTCAATGAGTTTTAAGTTATAAGTGAGCTTTTTTCATTACATCTGAGGCTTGCTTCAATAGCTTGAAATGTAAAACATTATCTTTAACTAACCGAAGCTTTGTTTACGCATTAAGGCACCAGACGAGGGCGGTAGTCCCAACAACTGTGCGATCCTTTATTGTCGCTCGTTTGCGATGCTACGAAATCTCGCCATATTAATGGGACGAGAAAAAAGCAAATCTCTTGTTGGTGAAGGAACAAAAAGCACTAAATTTGCATGCATGCATGTCTGCTTATTTGGGACACTTTTCTGGTACGATAGGACTATGTTTTAGAACAAGGGACATTCAGACGCCAGGAAGCCCTTTATCGCGATGGCAAGGACACCTCTGGGTCTAAAGGCTGGAGAGGCCCCATTCACGCACAGGATGCAGCCCAGCAGAGACCCATTTTACACGTCGACAGAGGGCTGCCTGTACAGGTCAACAGACATCTCTTGCAGGTCGGCAGGGGCATCTTTATCGGCAAGCAGGGCTCCTTGAATGAACATTTAGGGGCCCTCACCAGCCTATAGGAAGCCCATTGGTTGTCTGTTAAGCCCCCTCCCTCCCCCTGCCGGATTATAAAGGTCCCTGGCCCCTGTTAGTCGACATGTTACCCTCTAGTGCGGCCCCTTTAAAAGTCGAGAGAAAGGCCGACAGGGGTCTTTCTAAGGGGCCCTTGCCTGTCTATAAGGATACTCCTGCCAGACTGATGGCTACCCCTTGCATATCAGCAGGGGCACGAGAGGTAAGCCGGGCAATCTGAGTGAACGCTCGGGGGTACGTGTTAGCCTGTTAGAACCCACCGTTTGTTTGCAGGGGCTCAAACCGGCCCATAAAGGGCCTCTTGGCATCTGGAGAGTCTTGCTGCCGTCTGTAACGTAGCCGCTGTACAGCACGGATGCACTCTGTCGGCTTCTGAAGGGGCCCACTGCAGTGGTAAGGAGCCCTGCTTGCCTATGAAGATGCACCTCCCGAACTGAAGGGCGTCCTTCACAGGTCGGTAGCAGCATGCTCACAGCCGCGGTCCATTCACGCCTCAGTGGGATCCTTCAGCAAGTCGGCGAGGAGTCTCTCTGGGGGACAGGAGAGCCCCCTTACAACGCCGAAATATTGTTTTTCGATGACCAACAGGCACCTGTCATAGGCCAGATGGGACCATTTCAAGGTGAACAATGAGTCCCATAGAAAACAGCAGGCTCAAAACGTTTCCTCCATCCCATTGCACGGGTCTCTCGCCACTGCACAGGCCTCTCGCCACTGCA